AAACGAACTCCACAGGAAAAGATTCCTACTAGACCAAACCAACAGGGACCTACTTATTCTCCACCCCAAACTCAGCACAAAATCCACCCAGCACTCTGGGACAAATCCAAACAACTAGTCCTCTGGAGAACTGAAACAGAAACCTCCCACAAGACAGACACACACCAAGAAACTCCACAGACTAGAGAAACACCAGACGCCCACCCCCTCCCACAACAATGCATGAAACAAATAGTACACAACATATCAGACAGAACCCTCACCAGAGCAGAAACCAATGTTCTTTCCAAGGGATTCAACTTTGCAGTCGCCCCCAAACGCATCCATACCGAAAACGTTATATGTGGAGTTGAAGCTAGCCTAACCAAAATCAACCCAGATGTAGCCAATAAAATTAGACTTGAAGTCACCAACGTCCTCTGCTCCAGCAGTCCACCCAGAAGCAACTTACACAGAGAAGAACAAAAAGCACTCACCAACTTCAGGAAAGACAACAACATAATCATTCTCCCAGCAGACAAAGGCAATGCCACGGTCGTGATGAACACATTGGACTACCAATCCAAATTATCCAACCTACTCAAAGACCCCGCTTACAAACCTCTAAATACTGACCCCACCACCTACCTGGAAAAAAACACCAAATCCAAAATTAAAGTGTCTCCCATCAGTGAAGAGATCCAGCAAAGAATCATCCCCAGAGAAAAATCATCCAGATGCCCTAAACACTATGGCCTCCCCAACATACACAAAGAAGGAACACCACTCAGACCCATAGTCAGCTCCATAGGCTCACCTCTACAGAATCTTGCCAAATTTCTCGCCAAACAACTCCAGCCCTACACAGAATCCATCACCTCACATGTACAAAACACTTTCCACTTCATAGAAGCAATAAAGAAACAAAACCTACAACCCAGCAATCTACTCATGAGCTTTGATGTCATATCCCTCTTCACCCAAGTACCTATTAAAGAAGCCTTGACAGCCATCCAAAACAAATACAACCCCCTAAGCACATCCTAGATCTGATCAACCACTGCCTAACCAACACATACTTCATCTACAATGGACAAAGATACAAACAGATAGAAGGAGCACCTATGGGATCACCCCTCCCACCAGTCATCGCTAACCTATACATGGAACACTTTGAAACCAATGTTCTAGACAAATCCGAACACAAACCCAAACTCTGGCTTAGATATATAGATGACACTTTTGTAATTTGGCCACATGGGAAAGAAAAACTGGACAACTTCCTCACACACCTCAACAGCCTACACCCCAAAATACAATTCACCTTGGAAAAAGAAGCCAACAACCAACTTCCCTTCCTGGATGTCCTAATTTACAAAAAAAACAATGGCTCCCTAGGACACACCATCCACTGGAAGAAAACACACACCAACCACTACTTAAACACACAATCCCATCACCACCCTGCACAGATCAACTCTGTAGCCAAGACCCTCATCTCCAGAACCAAATGCCTAGCCGATGAAGACCACCTGAGAACAGAATTACACACCCTCACTAACGTATTAATTTCCAACAGATTCCAAAGAAGCACAATTACCAACCTAATCCTAAGGGAGACACCTCCCAGAAACTGAGACACAGAACAGGACAACGGTATTGCCCTCCTCCCCTACATCAAAGGCACCACAGATAAAATCAGCAAATTTCTCCACAAACACAATATCAGGACAGCCTTCGGTACTGACCAAAAAATAGCCAACATCCTAAGAAACCCCAAAGACAAGATCCAGCTAGAAAACCAAGGAGTTTATGAAATACAATGCAACAATTGCCCAGCCACATACCTTGGACAAACCAACAAGAGAATAAATGCATGCATCGCAGAACACAAGAATGCAGTCAGAAAAGAAGAAAATACTTCCTCCCTTTTCTAGCACCTTAAAACCACAGGACATGAAATTCATTTTGAGGGAACCAAATTAACCTCCTGAACACTTCCACAAGAGAATAATCAGGGAAGCTATCGAAATAGAGAAACACCCCCATAACATGAATAAACTGGACAATGCCTCCCGCCTACCAGACATCTGGAAACTAGTCCTGATCAACAAACAAGTCCTAGCCACAAAAACCAACACCAGACCCAAAACAACACATGACACCACCACCATTCTCCCTCACCAGACTCAGACCCAAACCCATCCCATAGATGAAAGACAACCACCGTCCAGAAACCAGACCATGGCTTCATCACCAGCTGCCACACACCCTGACCCCCAAACCAAGCAAACTTGACACACACCATGAACACATATCCAGGCCTCAAACTCGAAGCCAGACTAAAACCCAGAATGCTACATCACAGCCACCCACTCAGGATATCACATCAGAAAACTCAGGAAATAACACCACAAGAACTCAAGAAGTATGTATGTATGGTATTCAGCTTTGTTCGGGTATTTTCCCACGTCATTATAGTTGTGCTTTTAAAGTCGTAGCAACGTTTCGGCAGAATCTCATCTGCCATCATCAGGCTTCTGTGTTGTGTTCGTCTGTGAGTCAGACTTTCACAGCCATTTCAGTTTTAAATTTGGCGCTAGCCTGAAACGGCTGTGAAAGTCTGACCCACAGACGAACACAACACAGAAGCCTGATGATGGCAGATGAGATTCTGCTGAAACGTTGCTAACAACTTTAAAAACACAACTATAATGACGTGGGAAAATACCCAAACAAAGCTGAATATCATACACACACACACACACACACACACACACACACACACACACACTTTCTATCCATCATCTCTTGTTTATTTTAATACTTCAATTCTTATTCATTTTTTGGCTTTCCTCCCATACTCCTCTCTTGGATCTTTGTCTCTATCAACATGTGTATCTTCACCATTCACATTGAATATTTCTCCCATCTCTCCTCCTAAGCTGCCAGGTCTCCAGAGTATCCACCCAAACCCCAATCTCTCTTTCAAAAAATATTTTCAAGGTTATCTGATTCCATTTTAAAATCTCTTAAAGTACTTTTAGCTTATTTAATCAGTCATTATTGTCTTCATCGTCTTCTTCTCATCTTCTTGCTTTGTTTGCTGGTTTGTGTGTTCTATCTTTCTGTTATCTCCTCTCTTTCCTGGACTATTTGATCTTCATTCATTATCAGTTATAACATATTTACTGTTTTCCCATATACGCCTTGCATTAGGTTCTTTATCTCTCTGTGATTCTTTTCCATAGTACCCCTAATGTTTTGAAACATCAATGCCATTTCTCTTGAAATCTCACTCATTTCCCCCTGACAAAATGAAATCTTGTCTTAATTTAATAAGTCCTGCTCTTACTCAAATCCAAAAACAATATATTCCAGTCCAATGTTACTCCTCAGAAAGTTCAATAATCATAGTTCTTTACATCTCAGGATTATTAATCAATTTCATTTAAGTAGTCCAGTCAGCTTCCACAAATCAAAAGTCACTTTACTTTACTTAAGAGTTTTCCTTATTCTCACAATAGAGTCTCCAGCAATCATAAAGTAAATAGTTATAGAACAGTAAGTGTCACCACAGTCCGTCAGATGAATGTTGTTTATTTCTATTATCCAAATTTTTTCTAAACTTGGTCTGGTATATTCCATTCAACATTAGAGGGCACCCTCAGCTTAGGTTTCAGTTGTTTCAAGTCTTATAGATTTGATTAATCCAAATTTATTTCAATTTATGGGGGCAAAGGAGGCTATTCAAGTAGATTCAAGTAGATAGTTTCAGCATTTTATAATGCCTTTCCAAAACAACACCTGCCCAATTTAAAAGTCCCAATTTTCTATGTTTTAAAAGGTCTTTAGTTTTTCTCCCCTTAGGTCTTTTCTTTCGGGTCTAGGATTGTTCTCTCTATGGTTGTTGACCACTTTGAGAAATAGTTCTAAGAGTCCCCTTTTCCCCTCTTTCTTTCTTTCTTTCTTTCTTTCTTTCTTTCTTTCTTTCTTTCTTTCTTTCTTTCTTTCTTT